ATTTTCTAGCTCATCCACAATATTTTTATCACATCCCCGATTTTTTTCTAGCTCATCCCCAATATTCCAGATCATCCCAATTATTTTCTAGTTCATCCCCAGTATTTTCTAACTCATCCCCAGTGTTTTATAGCTCAACCTTAATACATGTATTTTCTAGCTCAACCAATGTATTTTCCAGCTCATCCTTAATATTTTTCACCTCATTCCAAATATTTTCTAGTTCATTCCAAATATTTTCTAGTTCATTCCAAATATTTTCTAGTTCATTCCTAATATTTTCTAGTTCATTCCCAACAATTTTTAGTCGTCCCCAATACTTTTTATCTCATCCTCGATGTACTTTCTATCTCATCCCCAATATTTTTTTAATCTCATCCCCAGCATTTTCTAGATCATCCCCAGTATTTTCTAGTTCATCCGCAGTGTTTTTTAGATCATCCCCACTGTTATCTAGTTCATCCAGGTGTTTTCTAGATCACCCCCACTATTTTCTAGTTCATCCTCAGCAATTTATGTAATTTTTCTATTTTCAAGGACTCTTTAGCAATTGAAGTTACCAAACTTTTTATTAATTTAGTAGAGGTTTTACGGTACTCGCAACTGCATAAGGTCATATGAGCGCCAAGGGGTAGATGTCAACTGAGAAGTTTTTACAGGGAATCAGGCTTACTCTGCTCACCTCTCTAGCTTCAACAGCACAAAATCTGCTTTGACTATCAAGGCACCCCGGAAATAGCAGGTCACAAGAGAGTGACAAACATACAAAAGAAGTAGGCTAGAGGAAAAATGACAACAGTAAGGATTAGGAAAGAAAAAGCAGCAGTTCCCTGTTGTAGATCAGGCACAGTTATGAGCATGACAAGAATCAGCCCATTTACAATTCTACTGTGCATGAATGAGAAATGCCCCCCCTTTGGGAATGGCCTAAAGACACTTCAGTCAGTGGCACTGCTCCGGCAGGGGGGGGGGGTTACCAAACTTTGACGGCCATTTTCTCTCTAATTTCACCACTGAAACCAGGCGACCTCACCTCCTTCAATCGCAAACATTTTGAGCTCTATTCAGGATAGATGGATAAAAAATTATTTCATTGAAAGCAAGGCAAATAAATCAGCTTTCAGATTATACCAATAAATTCACATTAGGCACAAAACATTGACGAGTGCCTCCACAGTGCCGTGACACATTTAAGAGGTGGTCTAGAGGGTAGGCTACCAGACTCGTAATCGTGAGGTTGCGGGTTCGGGGGTTCGAGCCGCGGGTCCGACGTTGTGTCCTTGGGAAAGGCACTTCACACGAATTTTCCTCACTTCACCCTGGTGGGAACGGGTACCCGGCCATAGACAGTGAAAGATCTTTATCAGTGTGTTAGTGTTATAGCGCCTATAAATGGCTGCTTGCACTGTATGCTTCTCAGGAAGTTGAGGTTGTTTCAAAATGCTCTCAGGTCTGCTGGGGTAATAGTATAGATTGTGAAGCGCATAGGGCTTGCTGTTGAGCGGGGATTTGCGCTATACAAATGTTATCTATTAAAGGTGGGACCTCCGAATTTAACATCCACCTCCAACATGATGGAGCCAAATAGGTTGAGTTGTAGCGTCTTGAAGTTGAAGTTTCCACAAAATGACCCACGTACAACAACTCCCTAGTCGTCAGGGATTTGAACCTGGGCAGTCTACTCTGTAGTCCAGCATTTTAAAAAGTTTTAGTAAGAGTTTTACAGCACTTGCAACACTACAAGGGGTCATATAAGTGCCGAAGATTAGATGTGTTACAAGAGAGTAATAAACATAAAAAAGAATTAAGTGGAGAGATAAGAACAATAGATGCTTGAATGAGAGGAAAGAAGGAGCAGACCACACCACAGCACCCGCCAACCACCCACTAGTTCAGCGTGACACTGAGCCAACAATGGACAGCCCGACAGAAAAAACAAATACAGTCCCAAACAAAACAAAAAGAGTCAAAAACTACCATCATTATTATATGTCTAAAGAGTGGATTTTCACAGAGTTACAAAAATGTACGAATCATCATATTTCAAGAACAACAGTCGCTGCACTTGTCTTTCAAATCATAAATCTTACGCTCTGGTAGAGTACAAAGCTTATCAAACCAATAAACTATTATGTGTGAGGCATCGTGGTGAAATCAGACGTTCGCAAATATATTGCCAACGAAGTTACGCGCATTTTTCGCCCAGTTGGACAAATTTGTTCAAATTTTTGTGTTTTGGCTCAACACCTTTTGTGTCCTTTTAAAAACATTTCTGAGAGGATTTTATTGGAAAACGTTGATTAAAGGCACAGCAAATGTAAAGTTTAAGTTTTCAAGGACTCTCAAATTTTGAAAATCAACAAACTTTCGCTGCCAATTTTTCTCTGAAACTAGGTGACCCCACCTCCTTCATTGGCAAATATCTTGACTTGTATTCAAGATAAAAGAATAATTTTTTAATCCAAACCAAACAAATTTTAATTAATGAACGAGCTTTAACCAAAAATTGACGAGCGCTTGATTCCACCACGTGGTGACACAAATCATAAATCTGACACACTGGTTGAGTGCAAAGCTTATCAAACCATATGTACTGAATGTACAAATTATCAACTTCACACACGTCACGTCTAGGGCCGCCAAGTATAAAACTATGGAAAGTCAGGTTTTTCAAAGTTCACAGAAGAGATGATAAAACAACGGATTTTCTCGAAGCGTCGCTTTGGCTGGAGAAACTTCATTTTCATAAGGGAGCTTACAATTGATGCCATGACAGACAGTAGGCTCCCTTATGGAAATGAAGTTTCTCCACACAAAACGCCTCTAGAACATCCGTTTTTTGCATGTCCTGTAAAATCTGAAAACCATGACTTCTCATAGTTTACTTTAGTGGCCCTCCATGTACAGCTTAACAAACTACAACTCATTCATTCATTCATTCATTCATTCATTCATTCATTCATTCATTCATCCAGACCATTACGTGCACAAAATACTGCAGCAACACACACGGTCGATTCTTGTGGAAGTTTGTGTAAGACACGGTAAGGAGCATTGACTCCCGTAAACAACAACAACAACATCAACAACAACAACAACAGTAGCAGCAGCAGCAGCAGCAACAACAACAGCAACAGCAACAACAACAGCAACAACAACAACAGCAACAACAACAACAACAGCAACAACAACATCAACAACAACATCAACAACAACAGCAACAACAACAACAACAACATCAACAACAACATCAACAACAACAACAGCAGCAACATCAGCAGCAACAACAACAACAGCAACAACAACAACAACAACAACAACAACAACAACAACAACAACAACAACAGCAACAACAGCAACAACAACAACAACAACATCAACAACAACATCAACAACAACAACATCAGCAGCAACATCAACAACAACAACAACAACAGCAACAACAACAACAACAACATCAACAACAACAACAACAGCAGCAACATCAGCAGCAACAACAGTACAAGAGCCGAGTCGTCAAGGCCATAACACAATTGCTCAAGTTCTTTCCTCCAGTCCCAAGATTTAGTTTTTGGCGTATGGTCAAAATGGCCATCACTTACTTGTCTCCCATCCTCAATATTGTTGCAGGATTTTGTTCGGTGTACTGAAAATCCTTTTATGGAAACATTTTCACTTTTGCTCAAGTCATAGGTGGACATAGGTGGACATAGGTGGACATAGGTGGACATAGGTGGACATAGGTGGACATAGGTGGATGTAGGTAAGCACTGTTCTTCAACAACAACAACAACACAACCCCCCCCCAAAAAAAAAAAACAACCCCCAACCATGGCATGGGTAATTGTGTTATGACCAAGAGCAAATATGTGAAGCAGCGTACATGTAGTGAAATCAGGTGCTCGTCAAAATAACAAAATCGGAGAAACAGCCATTTTTCCGGCAGTTTGAAAAAATTTTTCTAATCGAATTTTTATTTTTTGACACAGCCTCTTTTATGTCCATAATATATATAAAATCACATTTCTATTTGAATTTTACTGAAAAACATTGATTAAAATTAAAGGCACAAGGTAGGCCTATGTCATTTTTCAGTTTTTTAAAGACTCTTTAACTATTGGAGTTACCAAACTTTGGTGGCCATTTTCTCGCTAATTTCACCGCTGAAACCAGGTGACCACACTTTCTGCAATCCCAAATTTATAATATTTTGAATTCTTTTCAAGATAAATGGATATTTATTTAATTGGAAGCAAGACAAATAAAGCAGCTCTCAGGAGATACCCACCAATAACCCCATATGCCCCAAAACTGAAGAGCACCTGATTCCACCGCGTTGTTACACATATGAAGTTTTAAGTCATGAAATCAGTCAAAAGTAAAAGTAAGGCTGGAACCACAGAGAACTGCGCTCAAATATCACCTTGAAAAAAGTCATGTTTCCGAGCTGATATGTGAGTTCGTATGGAATGAATATTTTCAAAGGAAGAAATAAATGAGTTTTAAATAATTAACAGGCGAATATATATCTCATTTTTATAAGGTAGTTTTTACAGCCTCACTCTTAGCCGCATAAATCTTATTTTGACAGCTGCCAGAAATATATATATGTACTGGTATATAATAATCAGCAAACAGAAAGAAAAGGAGATCAATATGAATGAGAAGACAGTTTGAGAGGAAATATTAATATATACGGTTGCTTTTAAGTGCAAGTGGACTATCCCGAAAAATGCTGTTTTGAGAAAATCGAAGGTAGTTTTTGCCCCTTGTTCAGTTTCTTCAAAAGACAAGGAGAGTTTTCTCTATAACCAAACAAATATACATACCAATGAAACCAAACTTCTCCTATAGGTAGGGCAATGCCCACTTTTGGTGTAGGTCAAGATTTCTGGAAACCCCCGTAATCTGGGTTAGCCCGCTTGTCCCAAAAAGCGACCATATAAAATCTAAAAAATACAGTAAATAAACGTGAAATCTATCAAACGAGCATAATACAAACGATAACAAAAATTATTTTTTTAAAAAGACTAATGCGATTTCAGTTCAGTGAGCCTTAGTTTCCTTTCTTTATATCTTCTACGAGCCCGTTTTTTCCTCCGTTTGCCGATCCGTTGACTTTGTCTTTTCCGTTGAGAGCGAAGGGCTTTGCCTTGTAGGACTTGAGGTAGAAGTTGAGGAAGAGAAGGAGCAGAGAGCTTGAGTAGAATAACGCTACAATGTTGATCCACCGCGGGTACTCGCACGGTCCGTTGAAGAAGGATCCGATGCAGCGTATGTTCACAAACAGGAACTGAATCTGAAAAAGAGACAATTAGTTTTAGTCTCAGTGAAAGTTCTCTGAAACTTGCAACATAAGTCATACGGGGATATGCGCTATACAAATGCTATTTATATATATATATAAATAGCATTTGTATAGCGCATATCCCCGTTCGACAGCAGGCTCTATCATATAGATGATATATACGCTGTACACTCTATGTGTGTGCGCCTAGAGAAAGGTACCCAGTCTCCACAGACTGTTTCCAACTACAGGCTGATCATGACAAAAATCACTTTTTTGATCAAAATGTTTCCTTTAAAAAAAGATAGATCCACCATATTTTTACAATGTGCTCATAGAGTTTTCGTTGATTTGACTTCTAAATATTTTATTTTGAATTATTTTGAGGGGTATAATAACAACAAATAATGAAAACTGCTTCTAAAAGGTGTTAAAATCTATTGTTGTAGCAAGATTTCTCTTCTCTGCTATGTTTTACCATTGAATAGCATAATGATACCAACTGATAGCCTATTGATACCAACTGAGAGCCTATTGATACCAACTGATAGCCTATTGATACCAACTGATAGCCTATTGATACCAACTGATAGCCTATTGATACCAACTGATAGCCTATTGATACCAACTGATAGCATATTGATACCAACTGATAGCATATTGATACCAACTGATAGCATATTGATACCAACTGATAGCATATCGATACCAACTGATAGCCAAATTGGATATGAATTTTCCGAGAATAAATACATTTAAAAAATCGTTTTTTTAAGTTTGTATGTGTTCTCACGTTTGTTAAACTTAAAAGCTCATTTTCTCAAAATTATATTTTCATACCCTATCTCGCAAAATGTACAGTATGCTTGAGATATCTAAAAAAAATTCAATGACCCCTGTGTTCAACAATGAATTTCCTATAAGGTACAACCCTTAACTCAAAATGGTCAAAATCCGAATTTTGGTACCTTTCTTTTGGCACACACACATTTTCTTATGACCCAGGCAGACCCTATAACACTCAGAAACATTCTCGGGAAGCACACGTGAAGATAAGTCTTGATTAGAGGCGTTAGTGAAGAGTGATATACAAAGAAAAGAAGGAGGAGAGATAGGGAGAGTAGATGTTTGATGATAAAGAAGGAGGAGAGATAGGGATAGTAGATGTTTGATGAGAAAGAAGGAGGAGAGATAGGGATAGTAGATGTTTGATGAGAAGGAAGGAGGAGAGATAGGGATAGTAGATGTTTGATGAAAAAGGAGGAGAGATAGGGATAGTAGATGTTTGATGAGAAAGAAGGAGAGATAGGGACAGTAGATGTTTGATGAGAAAGAAGGAGAGATAGGGATAGTAGATGTTTGATGAGAAAGAGGGAGAGATAGGGATAGTAGATGTTTGATGAGAAAGAGGGAGAGATAGGGACAGTAGATGTTTGATGAGAAAGAGGGAGAGATAGGGATAGTAGATGTTTGATGAGAAAGAGGGAGAGATAGGGATAGTAGATGTTTGATGAGAAAGAGGGAGAGATAGGGACAGTAGATGTTTGATGAGAAAGAAGGAGAGATAGGGATAGTAGATGTTTGATAAGAAGGAAGGAGGAGAGATAGGGATAGTAGATGTTTGATGAGAAGGAAGGAGGAGAGATAGGGATAGTAGATGTTTGATGAGAAAGAGGGAGAGATAGGGATAGTAGATGTTTGATAAGAAGGAAGGAGGAGAGATAGGGATAGTAGATGTTTGATGAGAAAGAGGGAGAGATAGGGATAGTAGATGTTTGATGAGAAAGAGGGAGGAGAGATAGGGACAGTAGATGTTTGATGAGAAGGAAGGAGGAGAGATAGGGATAGTAGATGTTTGATGAGAAAGAGCGAGGAGAGATAGGGATAGTAGATGTTTGATGAGAAAGAAGGAGGAGACCACACCAGATCACCCTCTGACTAACAACTCATGCAGAGAGATTGACAATTGAATTTCCTGAATTCATGACTATATAGTATATAGTGAAACACTTGCAACTGGTATTCCACACAACTACAGTCGTACCGTTGCTACTGGTATTCCATACTTATAGTCGTACCGTACTTTGTTCAGTTTAGTTTTAGTTAGAGTTTTACAGCACTTGCAACACAATAAGGTCATATAAGTGCCAAAGATTAGAGGTGTTACAAGAGAGTGACAAACAGCAAAAAGAAGGAGGAGAGATTAGGATGAAAGATGATTGATAGGAAAGAAGGAGCAAACCACACCAGAGCACCCTCCAACCACCCACGTACTCATTGTAATAGGAGAAGTCTTACGTCCCCACTGACACAAATCTTTTAAGGGGAATTAGGAACTAGTATATATTATACAGTATAACACAGATCGCTCGAAATCGTCGGGACCGGCCTCGGTAGTTCCAGGGATATCTCACAAAGATAAAGACGAAAAAAAAGGGACCACAGGCACAGTTTAAAGGATGCGTGATTTCGAGTCTTCTGTGTTTGACCTTTCTGTGTTATACTGTAGGCCTACTATGCTCCTACGAATGAAATTGAACCTCAATTCTTACACTACCATAAAATTCTCTAAACAAAAACCAAGTCCCCATTTTTGTTTCCTCTAGGCTGTCATCACCATCATTCATCAAGTGCCATATCTGCAACAGACACTAGTGATCATAGTACCCCATTCCTTTCTTCGCTCGGATGCTCTAAAAAAAACCTATATATATATATATATATATATATATATATATCTCATTACCATGTCAGTGCGTCTACCCCTGCCTCATTTGCCTGCAGTTTTACCAGCCAGAGACAGATGTTCAAAACCTTTGTGTTATTCTACACCAACTCTGTACCATGAAATGATCTAGGCCAAAGTACCTACGCTGTGATAAAGTACCAACGCTGTGATGATGAGTACAGTCGTGTGTTTATTTATATTTATACTCACCAATTGGAACTCTGTGAGGCAGTGTGGTGAAATCAGGCGCTCGTCAAATTAATAAAAGTAAAAAAATTGGCATTTTCCCGCAGGTTTGGTAATTTTTATTGAATTTTTGTTTTTTGGTTCAACACCTTTCATGTCCATTAAAGAACTCATTTCTGTGTGGATTTGACGAAAATCGTTGATTAAAGACAGAAGAAATGTAAATTTTCAGTTTCCACGGACTCTAAAGCTAAAGAAATAACTCAACTTTGGCTGCCATTTTCTCGCTAATTTTACCTCTGAAACAAGATGACTCTCCCCTCCTTCAATCACACATATATATCTAGACTTCTATTCAACGTAGATGGATATTATTTTCACCCAAAACAAGGAAAATGGACAGGCCGTAACTTAAGATGATACCATCAACTCCGTATGCCCAGAAAATGACGAGAGCCTGATTCCACCGCGTCGTGCCACAACTGTGTACATATATGTGAGGCGTGCTGACAAAACGAGTTACTTCTCACAATCTACAAAATGGAGATATTGGCCAAAAATCGACACAAGGGTCAAATCTGTAAAAATTTTTAACTTAATGTCATATTCTTTACCTATAACACGCCTGTTATTATTCCATAGGCCCTACTAATGAATTATAAAAACTTCACCTATACGCGCGATAGGTCTATATCTTTTTCCAAAAGTCTTGAATCCGAGAAGTAACTCATTTTGTCAGCCCGCTTCACTTATATATATATATTTCTACTCACCAACTGGAATTCGGTGAGGTAACGTTTCCACCAGAGGTATTTCTGAATGCCCGGCCCCATGGCCGCCAGCCCGTAGTAAGTGTACATGAACACGTGCACCAGACAGTTGAAGCCGCCGTTGTAGAACTCTGGACACGGGGAACACAGCACAAGAGGAATATATATAAATAAATAAATGACATTGTATAAATTTGTTTGTTTTAGTTTGTAAGAGTTTTACAGCACTTGCAACACAATTAAGTTATACAGATGCTGAAGATTAGAGGTATTACAAGAGAGAGAGTAATAGACACCCAAAAAAAAGGAGGAGGGGAGATATAAAGAAGATAGATGTTCGATAGGAGAGAAAGAGTAAACCCCACCAGAGCACCCGCCAAACACCCACAAACTGTTTATAGTTTAAAGGTTTAACGACCATTTCAACACCGAGGGATAGAGATCATATTCAGAGGCAAAGAGAGAAACAGGAGAGCGAGAGAAAGAAAGAGAGACAGAAGAGAGGGAGAGAGACAGAAGAGAGGGAGAGAGAGAGAGAGAGAGAGAGAGAGAGAGAGAGAGAGAGAGAGAGAGAGAGAGAATGAGAGAGAATGAGAGAGAAAGAGATAGAGAGAAAGAGAGAGAGAGAAAGAGACAGAGAGAGAATGAGAGAGAGAGAGAGAGAGAGAGAGAGAGAGAGAGAGAGAGAGAGAGAGAGGGTGCAGAATCTAGTGACCACACACTATCAATTTCTTCAAAACAACCAATCAACAGTTCACTCAGAGTGGAAATCTCCATCATAACATCAATTTTCGGACAAAATGGCGTATGTCCGAGTCTCACACCTTACAGCTGAAATGAAGATATGTGTCACAACGTGGAGGAATCAGGCGCTCGTCAATTTTCGGACATATGGAGCTATTGATATTATCTAAAAGCTTATTCATTTGCCTTGCTTTCAATGAAAAAATATCCAACAAGCTTGAATAGAAGTTGAGATAATTGCGATTGAAGAAAGAGGGGTAAGCTGGTTTCAGTGGTTAAATTAATGAGAAAATGGCGCCAAAATTTGGTAACTTCAATAGCTCAAGAGTCCTTGAAAACTGAAAATTACATATTTTTTGCCTTTCAACAAGGGTTTTCAGTAACATTCACAAGTAAACGTCTTTTCCTATCAACATAAAAGGTGTTGAACCTAAAAACAAAATTTCAATTAAAATGTTTTTTCCTTCGATTTCATTATTTTGACGAGCGCCTGATTTCACCACGATGCCTCACAAATATATAAAATATAAAAGTAAACATCGTGATGTCTCCCAAGTCAGGCGTTGTTGAATACCGGTCCTCAGACTACTCACTTTCTCCGCCCGGCACGTACTTGGCCACGTACCAACAGATGACCATCATGGTACTGTGGTGGTAGACGTGAAGGAACGTCACCTGGCGATTCTTCTTACGCAGGATGAAAAATGTCTGTGGGGAAAACATGTTCTGTATAAAATATATGAAATATTCAAACATTTCAGTTTTTATTTATATATTATTGACAAAATTTGTAGACATAGCTATTTGACGTTCGTATAAAAATGAAAATTCAAATATTTCAGTTGATATAAAATAAAGATCTATTATTGACAACTTTTGTTGACATATTTGACAGACAAACTTGTCCTGTATAAAAATGAAATATTCAAACATTTCAGTTTATATAAAATATAGATCTAAATCTATTATTGACAATTTTAGTAGACATGTTTGACAGAAAAAAGGTTCTGTATAAATATATGAACTATTCAAACATTTCAGTTTTGTATAATACTGTATATTATTGACAATTTTAGTAGACATATTAGACAGAAAAAAAAGTTCTGTATAAATATGAAAATATTTCAGTTTATATAATATTATATTATTGACAATTTTAGTAGACATATTTGACAGAAATACATGTTCTGTATAAATATTAAATATATTAAAACATTTCAGTTTATATAAAATATATTATAGACAAACTGCAGTAGACATTTTGGACAGAAAAACAAGTTCTGTCTAAATATATGAAATATTTCAAAATTTCAGTTTATATAATATATTATTGACAACGTTGTGTTTCCAGTTTAGTTTTAACAGGAGTTTTACGGCACTAACAACACAAATAGGTCACGTAATACGAGTCCCCAAACATGTTACCAGGAAATAACATACCAAAAAAGGAGGAGGAAAGGTAAGGATAATGGATGTTTGATAGGAAAGAAGGAAAGGTTTGTTTTAGTAAGAGTTTTACGGCACTTGTAATACAATAAGGTCTTAAAAGTGCAGAAGATTAGACGTGTTACAAGAGAGTAACAAACACAAAAAAAGAAGGAGGGGAGATAAAGAAGATAGATGTTTGATAGGAAAGAAGAAGCAAACCACACCAGAGCACCCGCCAACCACCCGCCAACTACCCACGGAAGGAGAGGAGCCGACCACACCAGAGCACCCGCCAACCACCCACGGAAGGAGAGGAGCCGACCACACCAGAGCACCCGCCAACCACCCACGGACCAGTCGCTGACGACCGGCTGGAGCCGACCACACCAGAGCACCCGCCAACTACCCACGGAAGGAGAGGAGCCGACCACACCAGAGCTCCTCCATCTATCACGGAAGGAGAGGAGCCGACCACACCAGAGCACCCGCCAACCACCCACGGAAGGAGAGGAGCCGACCACACCAGAGCACCCGCCAACTACCCACGGAAGGAGAGGAGCCGACCACACCAGAGCACCCGCCAACCACCCACGGAAGGAGAGGAGCCGACCACACCAGAGCACCCGCCAACCACCCTCTCATGTTTTTCTGGAACATAACTAAAATAACAATGTTGTTTTTAATTAGGGCCCTTTTAATTTTAGTTAAGTTTTAGCAAAAGTTTTACAGCACTTGCAACACAGATAGGTTACATAGGTGTTGAATATTAGAGGTGTTACAAGAGAGTAACAAACGCAAAAAAGAAGGAGAGATAAAAACGACAGATGTTTGATAGGAAAGAAGGAGCAAACCACACCAGGGCACCCACCAACCACCCACAAACTCAAACAGAACTTACCGTGTCCAACAACTCAATGACCTTGGAGAAAAAGTACCACCACGCTGCGTTGGCCTCCTGTCAATAAGACAATAAGATAAGACAATAAGATAAGACAAGACAATAAGATAAGACAATAAGATAAGACAATAAGATAAGACAAGACAATAAGACAAGACAATAAGTCAAGACAATAAGATAAGACAATAAGATACGACAATAAGATACGACAATAAGATACGACAATACGATACGACAATACGATACGACAATAAGATAAGACAATAAGATAAGACAAGACAATAAGATAAGACAATAAGATAAGACAATAAGATAATAAGATAAAATAATAAGATATGATAATATGACAGATAATTAGATAGATATTAAGGTAAGATAGTAGGATAAGATAATTAGATAATACGATAAAGATAATAAGATGAGATAATAAGATAAAAAAATAAGATAAGATACATCTTTATTTTCCAGATCCTGGCACAATGCTTTGGAGTTTCACCACGTGCACACATACACACACACATACACACACACGTAGGCGCCCGCCAGCGCTCACACACACATACACACGCACACATGAGCACATACATGCGCACACACACACTTGCGCGCGCACACACACACACACAAACATGCTCACACAAACAAGCACACACATGCATACACACGCACATGTGCACACCCATATACACACACACTCGTCCCTCACACACCCTCTCTTCCACACACATCTGTGCACACCCATATACACACACACTCGTCCCTCACACATCCTCTCTTCCACACACATCTGTGCACACCCATATATATATACACACACACTCGTCCCTCATACATCCTCTCTTCCACACACATCTGTGCACATAATCATAATTCACATAATAGTAGGGCCTATGCCTGCACTCCCACACAGGCTCACAGTCACATGAATTATAACATAAATGAACGATAATTATGAACATTAATAGTGCTCACAGTCACATGCATTATAACATAAATGAACGATAATTATGAACATTAATAGTGTGAAGTTAGATAAGTAGGCCTACTCAGTATTCTGATTGTAACTGAATGGTATTCTGATATTGCATGCTCTTAAGGTCATAAGAACACTTACATATGAAAATGATGGTAGAAGTTTAACGTATAATGGAAAAAATGACCTTCTGCATCTTTCTTTGTTACAGATCAGAAGCCTACGTCTTTTACTTCTGACTGATAGTTTTCTTCGAGGGAACAAGGGATGTTTATTGTATAAAAATATCGAATTGATTTTTTGTACATGCAGTGCAAGTGATAATGTTTAATTCATCGAAGTAAGGGAACTTAGACATTCAAAGCTGCGAATTTGAGGCTGCACTAAAAGGACAATTTTATCAGAATTACAGATCAGCAGAGCGCATCTAGTAATAGTATCTAGCTTTCTGAAATGTTTGCCTCAAAAGTAGCCTACGTTTGTCTCTTGATTCAAACAGAAAAATCCTATAAGGAAAATGAGAAGGCTGGTCAAAGTGTAAAAGTGAATGACTCACCCGAATACCAATGGCAGTGTCATCATAGTTGACAGGCTGACAGAAAAAACCATAGCTGCGGATAATTCCCACTGACAACATCTGAAATATACAGCGTGCATACATAATATATGTGATTACTGCTACAGTTTGAGTCTTGTGTTTAGTTTTAGTAAGAGAGTTTTACGGCACTTGCAACACAATAAAGTAAAAAGTGGCGAAGATTAGAGGTGTTACAAGAGAGTAACAAACACAAACAAGAAGGAGTAGAGATAAGGACGATAGATGTTTGATTGGAAAGAAGGAGCAAGACAGACAGACAGACAGACAGACAGACAGACAGACAGACAGAGATATAGACAGAGACAGACAGACAGACAGACAGACAGACAGAGATAGACAGAGACAGACAGAGAGACAGACAGACAGACAGAGGTAGACAGAGACAGACAGACAGACACACAGACAGACACACAGACAGAGATATAGACAGAGACAGACAGACAGACAGATAGACAGACAGAGATATAGACAGACAGAG